ACGTTGTTTTGATGACGCCTCGTCAATTCTTAATTATCACAACATAGTTCGTGTGGTGTGTACCTAAAATAAGGGCTTGATTAATGTAAGCTTAAAATCTTATCCATCAAAATCCATAACATCGCAACAACAACAACAAAAACATTGTTTCACCTGTTTTCTAAACATGAAAGGCATGGATAGTATGGAAATGGACCAACGGTGGTAAGGAAAAGGAGTAAATTAATAAGAAAGAACGATAATGACCTCACTCATTCACCTTCATTCATTCACGAGGCTATTTAATCTTATCGTCATAGGCAATTTGTGGTCTAATTATACAGTAACTGAAGGATCTTTGGAATTCCCAAATTCGATTTTACAAACAGGTTTTAAGGTGAATCATATCATTCATTAAGCATTGGAATCAGTTCAGGGGCATTCTTTAAATGAATACTAGGAGGCATTCAAGTACAAAAATTAAAAATTAAAAAAAATATATTGCGCCAATGATCATCTTGACTATTAAATCTTCTGACATTTTCTGACATATATACATATGGAAGCTATATACACAATGTATATAGTTTTACAATGACATACGCTTGTCTTGATATTGTATTTACTACTTGTACAAAGCAAAGTATTATTATTTTTTAATATTATAATATTATACAATTACGATTAGTTTCAAATGAAACATAACGGTTATCATAATTAGTAAATGTTGTAATCATTAGCCAACCGTTTTACAAACATACCGATTTTTTTTTCATAAGGCAAATGAGTAACAAATTTATTGCAAATTACATATTAACCAAAAAATACGTTTTTATGTTATTTTCTAAATGATATAGAAATTTTATTGTATTGGTTCCTTAAATTGAATAAAGTTCAAAGATCTGACAATATTTTTAGGGTATCGAGTAGTTTTAATTTGTACCTTTATGTTACGTCACAACATGTAAGAATTAAATATTATACATAGATTGTAATCAACCCACACTAAACATAAACTAACAGATAGTTTACATACAGCAAGTGTTTGAATCTAATTGCCCGCGCCTTAAATATGTGGGCGGCCACAAGGCGACAGGCGAAACGTTGAGTCTGTCGATTTGTTGAAACAATACATTCTTTTGATATAAAAGCTCAATAAATAGAGATGAATTAACCTGATTTTGGGTAACTATTTGAACTTATCAATATCTGTAGAAAGAATTTATATAAACTTTTCCAAACTTTGAAATGGGAAAAAGGAGAGCCAATAGCAGATTATTTTGTAAAAATGTATATTTTCGGCATTTACAACGACTAATAAAGTTTTCAATGTCTCCATCAGACATCTAATATTTATGTCAGGTTGAAAAGTCGAGGACTTTGGGACCTATAGGCGTCCCATCTCTTATTATCTTGCGCCTTAGACATGTGCATAGGGCAGGTGCTTATATTGCTCAGGGTATAATCCGCCTCAGAGGAGAGGACAGAGACGAAAATGAGTTTGTAATACCATCATACGTATTTGAGAAGCCTTAAATATTTCCAAAAAAAGAGGCACTGATAAAAATAATTTTTTTTTTCGTTCGCTAAAAATTATATCCTGAATTCCTCAAACACATAACCACAAAGGTACTATTTAATAAAATTCGACGAGGAATCCGGAACCAATTTGGCAATGACCTGTTTCCTTCTGATGTGACGTCACAAGCAACGTTCTCTGATAGGTCATATTTGTGACCAATTTCTGACCTTAACAGTTGCTGAGTGAAATGAAAAACGTCATATTGGGTGCGTGTCTTACCTGCTTGACGTGTGGTATAAGTTATAAGCTTTTTAAATTTTTTCGACATTTTGCCTTGAAACGTTTGGTTAGTGTGCTTATTGACAGAATTGCCGGTATTATTTATACTTATCTGCGTTCTGGATATTTTAAAACATTTTTACTGTCCAGTATAAATGTAACAAACTTTACAATTTAAAAAAATATTGCAGAAAAAAATAACAGTGTGAAATAAGCAAACGGAAGCACATATTAAACGATAAAATCACAGTGTTGTCGCTAAATCTTAATGTTTGCGACAGTATTGCATTCTCGATAGCAAGGTGATTAGTATTTCGGGGCTGGGCGGTCGGCGGCGCGCGCGCAGTCTCTCGCCGCCAGCCGCCCGCGCGCCCGTCCGCCGCCGTCGCCGCGCGCCTCTACCGCGCGACTTTCAAATCCACCGAACATTCAATTTCAAATATCGAACTCCGTGTTTTCTTTTATGTCAACAGTGAATTTTCAGTGTTTTGTGCCAGCAATATCAGTGACGTTTGGCGCTTGCTAATAGCTCCGTTCAGGAACCGACTTTCACTTCGCCAGAGTTTTTTGCAAGCGGTGAGTGTTTTAGGTTTATTTTTAATCGGACGTCGCGTAATTGACTATTACACAATTCTTGTCTCGATATGCGGAAATGTCAGGAGTTGTGAAAATGTTGCAACCATATCTAGAAGTATTGGACGGCGTCCGTGCACATTTAGATATACCGATGCGTGCGTGAATACGCAAATCAATGCGGAATCGAGCGTGCACTCGGTGCACTAAAATTGTCCTACTTTTATAAATAATAACGCGAATCAAATTCGAAAGTACGCATACACTGTATACATTAAAATATATTTATTGTTACTTTTCTATGCTCTATCTTAGAAAATTCAATCAATAAGAAATAAGTAGGATAATTATGAGTCATTTTTTTCCTATAAAAATATATGAATGTTTTTTGTATGAAGATATGAAGATTTTTGTATTACTTTTGTACTTTGTTTAAACTAATACATTGCATTTACAAACTATGTATTTTCCCATAAATAAATGTTGAGCAGCGCTCGTTGATATCTTTTGTACGCGCGACTTGCATACGAACTGTTGTTGTCTAAAGTAGGCAGAAATTCCAACTTGCGAATACCTAATAAAAATTCTAGTTCTGTATCAAGGTGACCTCTGATTGGTCAGCATCGTCCCACAGAAATGGTAAATTCTTAATTTGTACATATTGTGTGGGCATCGTAGTAATTACGTTTGGGGATTTACGAATAGACTAATGTCATGGGGTATGCTAAAATACGATATTTTACAAATATTTTTATAAGTTGTATTCTGATTTCGAATTATTATAATGAAACATCATCAAAGAAAGATATTTAAAGATCAATAAATATGACATAAGACTTTAATGTATATGAAATTTATGACTGAATATATTAAAGTAAAATCTTAAGAGATTTTTTGTTCCTTGTATATAAATCAGTGCCATTTTTATGATTGCGTCAGAATCAGTGTTTTATCGAGAGATTGTATGTCGCGATTGTTAAACGTAGCGTAACCGGCTCGGGTGCGGATTTAAGTTTAATTCTGAACTCTCCAATAGATTTAAATTATGTAAAATACCAAAATAAAAGTATAAAAAAATATGCACTTAATTATTATTATTCTAGTTACGGAATTCTTAAAAGTATTATTGTTGCGAGAGTTTTATCAATCTTATGTGTGCAAGAAGGTTTAGTTATTTTGAATTTCAATTTTTCATGTTCTAAAATAAAAAAATAAATGACGACAAGGATTTGTTTGAAGTTTTAATATCTATTTTAATTTATCCCGCAGCTTCGCGAGATATAACTTGAAATATTGTATTATATTCAAAATATTCGCAAAAATCAGATTAAAAATATACGTTACAAATAGGTTTATATTTAAATATTTAACACGGCAATAAAAAAGCACGGGAAGTGACAAGCTGGTTTTTAGAGCATTGACACAGCATTTGGAGTGATATTTATGGAGCGTTTTTATGTTAAATAAATACAAGTATTAGTATCATGTAGAAAAACAAACAAATTGTTTAAATTTTTTATTTAGATATTTTTTAAGCAACTAAATAGCTATTTAATTCTTAAGATAAATTATAATATATTTTTTATTTATTATTAGTGAAAGAGTTAAACTGGATGGATGGATGTTTGTTAGCAGGTACCAAAACGGTTATCTTGATCTTGATTAAATTTTACCTACAGTTAAATTACTGTCTACAATATCGCACAGTCAAGTTACTATTTTTATTCATATTCCGCGCGGACGATGTCACGGACAAAAACTAGTGAATAATGATAACCTCAGGGTGAACAAAAATTATTTGTCGTTAATTTAACTTTAACAATACATTTTATGTTGATATAACGGTACACAAATTCCTAGATAATTAGTACGTAATTGGTTTGATAAAAATATTACTTAACGTTACGTACAATTAAAAGATAATAGGAAAGTAATTAATCGTGATAACTCGAAATACCGCAATAAATTATTAAAATAGATAATGCAAAAAACTGATAGTTTAGTTTTCTTCGTGTTTTTAAACTTAAAAATTGTACTTTTAATATTATGTTAAAAAATAATTTATACGTGATAATTTTATAAATATGAATTCTTTTAAATGTTGGTAGCATAATAATATTTTAAGGTAAGATTATAGTAAAACAGATTTATGTTTAACGATGTCTTTAAATAAAGATTCAAGGCTTCGAAAACAGTTTACGCAACGGCTGCTACTGCCAGTCGTAGGAAACCACTATCGTTGATTATATCGTCAACGATGTGTTATAAAAAAAACTAACGATATCGTCTCTGGCTCCTTGATGTTGGATAAAATATGGTTATATTTATTTACACCAATATATGTAGTAACAAGACAAAAAACATGTATTCTCATGATTTGAGTTACGTTCGCGCTAGGAATCAAGAACTAGTTTTTGATTGTTAATTCTGTACCTCTATGGCAAGTTGAGTAAGTTAAGTAACTGCATTTGAAAATGGAAATATGTATCTAATTAAATTACGGAACAAATACATCCGTCGCACGGAATTGAAAAATTAGTAGCCTATGTGTTCTTCCAGACTATATCCATCCATACATCCAAACGTTCGCATTTATGATCTTAGTAAGAAGTAAGATTAAAGATATGTGATAGCCATGATCTTACAATCAAATGGGACTAAACGTGTACTATTTTTAAATATTAAAGTTTGTATGTTACATAGAAATCAATAGCAATATAAATTCAGTGTAGCGGTTATATTGAAAGTCCCACGGTACACGCCTAGTCATAAAATTTCAACACGTGCTTTGTACTTATAAAAATTAACATAAAAATTTCGGGGGCAGCGACATCCTTAAAACAAAGGAATAAGGTCGAGAATGCTGAAATATGGGGACAGTAAATACAGACAAAAGAAAGTAAATGGTTCGGTTATCCGCTTTGATACGGAATCGTTGACGGTAACCGTTGTCAGTTATTGTTGTTAACAATAACTCGGACTCACTTGCGCAATAGTTGATCGTGTGTGAAAGGATCACTGACTTTAGTTGTAACTTATGAAGCGTTTAACGCACAACGAAATGCCGCTGAAAGTAATAAAATATCGATGACTAACACTGATACATCTATATACATATAAATAAAATTGGAATATATACGGTACAGACAGCAAAATAACATTTTTTACAATTTTTGTCTGTCTGTTTGTTCCGGCTAATCTCTGAAATGGCTGGACCGATTTTAATGGGAGTTTTATTGGTAGGTAGCTGGTGGGATAAGGAGTAACTTAGGCTATGTTTATTCAAGAAAAATAATCGTTTAATTTTAGAAAAGTAAAGTAATATTGCAATGTCCTACTGTCCAGTACAGCGAACTCAAAGACAGTATTTCACGCGGACGAATTCGCAGGAACAGTTAGTCGAAAACATATTTCTTGTATTAAATTGAATATTCATTACGTTATTATAGATTTGCAGTATTCTCAGAAAATAGAGGTCATCGGAAGAACATAATTTTTATAGATGTACTCTAAAATAGACCTATTATTTATTTTCTGATTTGCTAGAAACGTTTATTCCGGCAGGATATGCTATTAAGAATAAACGAAAATTGCCCTTATGTGGTAACAGTAGAGTTTAAATTTGAGTAAATATACATAAGTTTGGTATCCGGCACTTTGGATAGTTATATAAATTATCCATCGTAGTATTCTGTTTGCATACAAGTTAGGGAATGCACGCATTCGAAGCTTTTGTGATTGTTCATGATTGACAGAAAATACAACAAACAAAAATTCAAAAATTTAAATGCCTTCCATCTTTTAGAATAATCAGTTATCCTTTTTTTCATTATTTGTCCTGTTCTTCTCGTTTCTTGTAGAACAACGTATATTCGAGATATCAAAGATATATATAAAATATTTCTAACAAGACATATTATTTGGACATTAATTTTATTAATATTCATCACACCTTTATCATTTACGAAATAGTTTTACAAGTCACGAAATTATAAAAATAAAACGTAACCAATGTTACTTTTACTAAGCAAACATTGGTATATTAAATATAAACTACTTATATTTATGAAATATCTGTGCAATGTTGTGTCATACAATTAGATATCTGAACACGCGCAGACTCGCTGTTCACTGCTTACGAAACTGCGGGGCAGTCTCGCCGCATTGCAATATTAGCTATAGAGTTAACCATTACTTAAACATTAAACAGACAAAAATAATTATATTTAGCATACTTACATAATAAACATGTAATTAAAAATAATTGAAGAAAGAAGAGGTATGTAAATAAGATTTAATATTTATAAAATACTAGCTGTTGCCCCCGACTTCGTCCGCACGCAATAAAATAAAAACTTAATTAGTAGTCTACGTGTTCTACCAGACCATGTTCTACATTTAAGATTAATGTCTGTTAGAAGGTATCTCTAAAAGGGCTGTATGAATTTCACTGAAATTTGGCATAGATGTAGAACGTAGTCTGAAAGAACACACAGCCAAATATTTTTTTTAAAATTCCGCGCGGTCGCAGTCACTGGTGACTGCTAGTACTTGCTGTTTATTATATGTAATTATTCTTAGTGGTCATCTTAAACTTGTCAGGTCTTTGACTTTTATACGTTTAATCATTCATATAAAGATCTAACAGGATCTACTTATAAACAATAGGTCTGGTCTCGCCGTAACTTAGTAGAAATCGTCTAATTTGATTCGACTAATGATAAAACACGTTTGATTGGCATCGGAAGGTTATATCGCGCCGAGAAATTATGAGGTCGGGGTGGGGAGTCAATATCAACCTATTTATAACTAGCCACGCTACACACATCCTAATATCAAAGTGTATAAAGCTTATATTTGTGTTTACTATATTTTCCATATTGTTCAATAACTAGATTTTCTATTTATGTATTAAATTATTCCATTAAACATGAATTGTAAATAGGACGAGGTTTTCATAGAAATGTGGGTTTGATAAATTAATTTTAAGCAACTATTTAGTA